TTATTGTGATTGTGCTTATTAGAATGTTATTTTATGACTGCCTTTATTTTGCTTATGTAATTTTGATGATGTTGCTGTTGTTTGTTGTTTATGCTTTGATTTTATTGCTGTAATATGTTGTCCGGGCTTGGCCCCAAGTAAGCTGCTCTGAGTCTCCACTGGGGAGATGGTGGCAGGGTATATATAAAGGTTATTATTATTATTATTATTATTATTATTATTATTATTATGCACATTTTTGGACCTCTCCATGCCTTCAATGTCACTTTCGATCCACTGTGATTGCAGAAATAACCACCGTGCACAAGCAGACATAATACGAAATACACAATAGGGTGCAAAACGTGGCTATTCAGTAGGTAAGTGTGGTGTACTAGGTGAGTATAGATTGATACATGCAAGCCTGACCAAGGATCTTATCCTGTTTTCCCCCCTAAAACTGCATAGACAGCTGGTGGCAATGTGTAGGGAAAATAGTGAATTGATTATATAAAGGGGTCTCTTGGATGCAATTGTGCTGTTTTTAGGAGGGAGGCTTGGACAACTCTAAACAGAAGTGCACCTTTTTTTGAAAGGCAGGTCTGTTTCCGTTCCCAGGCTGCGGTTTTGCCGTAGGCTTGGCCAGCCAATATCCTCTCTCCCTTGCAAAGAATGCACTGGCTTTGGGCAATCTGAAGCTCTCACAAAGTCCTCTTGGCGACGATGTCTGCATGCAAATAGCCATCTGGGCTGCAGACTTGCAAATGGCATTCAGCTCACATGCATCATATGTAGGTAGTGCTAGACCAGGCACAGGCAAACTTCGACGCTCCAGGTGTTTTGGACTTCAACTCCCACCATTCCTAACAGCCGGTAGGCTGTTAGGAATGGTGGGAGTTGAAGTCCAAAACACCTGGAGGGTCGAAGTTTGCCCATACCTGTGCTAGACTTAGGTGGAGATATGACACTCCTAAGCTGACAACCATGTATTTAATTCTTTCGAATACCCTTTGCAAAGCCAAGGGCAGAATAATGCATATGATGAATGACAGGCCCTGCCTGTAGGCTCATATCTCTGGGACAAAGACAGATGAGGGAGGAAATGGGCCACGATGGGCACGGAAGGAATGATAAACGGGGCCATTATCTTGGTAGATCCACTACAAGTTAACCTTCTAGGCCACGCAATCCATCTCTGGAACATTCCTCCAAAACATGTCAGGGCAGGTTCAACCGGTACTTGTCTCAGTATGTGACAAAGCGGTGATCGGTACCATTTACTATGCTGAAATCCACCCATGAGCCGCCATCCCCTTATGATATACCTAAGGACTAAAGAGGCCCAGAGATTGCTCCTCTTGAATGAAACACATTGGCTCAGAACTCATGCTTTTCTCTATTTCCATCCCCAAACCTTTCTGAGGTTTCAAAATGTATGGGGGTGCTAACAGCCCCTGGCCAACATGAAATCTCCCCCTGTTATAATGAAATATAATGTATTTTCTCTCTTCTAAGACTTCAGGTGGGGAACAAATGTCCCCCAACGCATTGCAGCATATATAAGAGCCCAGAAAGCAATGCTTCCTAATGCAAATCCTCAGCATAGTACTCATGTTAATATATATTCTTGCAAATGCATACAAACCCTATGATTCAATGCAAATAGAATGATTTAATTCTCCCCAAGCCCCCTCTCTCCCTCCCCTTTCCTCCCCTTCCTCTTCTCTTTTGGAGGCAGAAAGTGAAGGGAAGACAGGACCCCAAAAGGGTTGGTCTTGGTCAAGATGAGATGGTGAACGGTAGAGAAAAATGTATCTATGAGACCCTGTATTGCCTACTCCTGATATAGAATCCTAGAATCCTAGCGCTGGAAGAGACCTCCAAGGGCCATCCAGTCCATAATAATAATAATAATAATAATAATAATAATAATAATAATACTTTATTTATACCCCACTACCATCTCCCCAAGGGACTCGGTGCGGCTTACATGAGGCCAAGCCCAAAATACAACAGTACAAGCAATAACAATAACAACACAAGCAATTTAAAACAACAAAACAATAAACCAATAACACATACAATATCAATAGGACAATACACTTTAAAAACTATGGGTAGGCCAAATGTAATTAAAATTAAAAGATTAAAAATAATACTGGACATGGATGAAAAAGTGATAGGGCAGTTTGTGGGAACATATGAGCAGATCTAAATATATAAAGTGCTTTAGAGGACAAAGTGCTATGGGATCATTATTCTGGGAAGGCACACTGGAACAACCACGTCTTCAAGCTCCTCTTAAAGACTGCCAAAGTTGGGGCATGCCTGATGTCCTTAGGAAGTGAGTTCCAGAGTCGAGGGGCCACCACCAAAAAGGCCCTCTCTCTCGTCCCCACCAATCGCGCTTGCGATGCAGGCGGGAGCGTGAGCGGGGCCTCTCCAGATGATCGAAGAGATTGTGTGGGTTCGTATACAGAGATGCGGTCACGAAGGTAGGCGGGTCCCAAACCGTTCCGGGCTTTGTAGGTAAGAACCTGCACCTTGAATTGGGCTCGGAAAATGAATGGCAGCCAGTGGAGCTCCTTGAACAGGAGGGTTGACCGCTCCCTGTAAGGAGCTCCGGTCCAACCCCCTGCCATGCAGGAAAAATCACTCCCAATAAACAGCCTCTGCAGAAATGCTTCCAGAGAAGGAGACTCCACCACCCACCCAGGCAGCCTAGGCCACTCTCCAACAGCTCTTACTCTCAGGAAGTTCTTCCTCATCTTTTCAGTTGAATCTCTTTCCCTGCCATTTGAACCCATGGCTCCCTTGTGCCCTGGTCTCTAAAGCAGCAGAAAATCAGTTTTCCCTTTCCTCCTCAACAGGACACCCTTTGAAATCTTGAAACATGGTTCTCATGTTCCCTCTCAATTGTCTCTTCTCCCAGGTAAATATCCCCCAGGAGGAAAGGAGGAAGGAAAGAGAGAAGGAAGGAAGGAGGGAAGGAAGGAAGGAAGGAAGGAAGGAAGGAAGGAAGGAAGGAAGGAAGGAAGGAAGGAAGGAAGGAAGGTGTGTGAGAGAGAGAGGGAATGAAGGAGGTCGGAAAGAGGGAAGGAAGGGACCAAAGGGTGGAAGGGAAAGAGGGAGGGAGAAAGAGGGCAATAAAGAAGCAAGAGAAAAAGGAAGGAAAGAGTAGTACAGAAGGAAGGGATGAAGGGGAGGGAGGGAGGGAGGGAGGGAGGGAAGGTGAAAGAGAGAGGGAAGGAGGGAGTGAGGTAGGAAAGAGGAAAGGAAAGAAGGGACCAAAGAGTGGAAGGGAAGGAAGGAGGGAGAAAGAGGGCGGTAAGAAAGCAAGAGAAGAAGGAAGGAAAGAGAGAAGGAAGGAAGAGAAGTACTGAAGGGAGGGAGGGAGGGAGGGAGGAAGGTGAGAGAGAGAGGGAATGAGGGAGGTCGGAAAGAGGGAAGGAAGGGACCAAAGGGTGGAAGGGAAAGAGGGAGGGAGAAAGAGGGCAATAAAGAAGGCAAGAGAAAAAGGAAGGAAAGGAAAGGAAGGAAGGGATGAAGGGGAGGGAGGAGGGGAGGGAGGGAAGGGAGGAGGGAGGGATGAAGAAGGAAGGAAGGAAGAAGGAAGGAAGGAAGGAAGGAAGGAGGAAGGAAGGAAGGAAGGAAGGAGGGAAAGAGAGAGGGAAGGAGGGAGGAGGAAGAGGGAAGGAAGGAAGAAAAGGTGGAAGGGAAGGAAGGAGGGAGAAAGAGGGATAGGAGAAGAGAAGAAGGAAGGAAAGAGAGAAGGAAGGAAGAGAAGTACAGAAGGAAGGGAGAAGGGAGGAGGGAGGGAGGAGAGAAGAGAGGAAGGAGGGAAGAAGAAAAGAGGGAAGGAAGGAAGGGACCAAAGGGTGGAAGGGAAGGAAGGAGGGAGAAAGAGGAGAAGGAAGAAGAGGAAGAGGAAGGAAGGAAAGAAGGAAGGAAGAGAGAGAAGGAAGGGAGAAAAGGAGGAAGGAAGGAGGGAGGGAGGCAGGGAGGGAGGGAGGGAGGGAAGGGAGGGAGGGAGGGAGGGAGAAGGAAGGAAGGAGGAAGGAAGGAGGAAGGAAGGAAGAAGAAGGAGGGAGAGGAAAAGGGAGAGGAAGGAAAGAGGGAAGAGGGAAAAAGGAAGGGAAGGATTAAAGAAGAAGGAAGGAAGGAAGGAAGGAAGGAAGGAAGGAAGGAAGGAAGGAAGGAAGGAAGGAAGGAAGGAAGGAAGGAAGGAAGGAAGGAAGGAAGGAAGGAAGGGATAGGATGATGAGAGAGAGGAGTGCTTGAGACAAGAGCCCAAGGGGTCTGGGTTTACCCATACTTGATCGAGAGCAAACTTTCCCAACATGACAAACTAACAATTGATGCGAGTTTCAGGGGGTTAACCTGACATGATGTGAGTTGTAGTTCACCCACAACCTTATGCATTCTATAAAATAAAATAAAAAAGCATTTTTCACCTAACCTGGAAAGCGCTGGGTGCCCAAGCTAGTAGATAAATAAATTAGATTCTGATCCCATTGCCACAACTACGTAACTGTGCTTAAATATGTGAGTTGTAATGTTATACCTCATCTGTGCATCTAAAGAATTAATATCCACTGATTTTTCAATGTTTACTATCATTTCAATACAAAAACATATAAGGCAACATTCAAGAAGAGGCATTCACTTTACATGTAAAGGAGAAGGCTAATTTAAAGACAGCACCTGCTACAAAATAGGCATGCATCGCCCTCTAAGCACAAAAATACAAAAGGAAAACCCTTAGGTACATTCATTCACAAATTAAAGCAGATTTTGCATGTTTAATGGATTTGACAGCCTTATTCCTTGATGCATTTTATTGGCTGTGAGGCCTAGCTCTGTGTTTTCCCATGCAAGCATTCCAAACTGCCATATATTTTGCCATACTACAGCAAATAGAGGAAGGACTGCTGCTAACAAGCATGAATGGATGACAGAGAACGTGAAAGGGTGCACAAGACGAGTGAAGACGAAAAAGAAGAAAAGATGTAGGAACTTACATATCCATCATCAGAGGGGCTCATACAGCAATATCCCTTTGGGGGCAAACATTAAAATAAAAGAGATGGGGGAAAGAGTTAAGAGAAGTCACACAGAAAGAGATGGTCAGCAATTTAAAGAGAAAGGTAACAGGTACACAATAAAAAAAAGCACAATCAAACAGATGGCAATCCAGCCTGTTTAAAAGTTTCCAAGGAAAGTTTAAAAGTTTCCAAGAAAAGTTTCCACCACAGTGAGGCAAAGAGTTCCACTGCTGAACACCTCTTATGGTCAGGAAGTTCTTCCAAATGTTCAGGTGGAATTTTCTCTTCTGTTATTTGAACCCATTGCGAACCCGTTGCTTTCTGCTTCCAGAACCCATTGCGAACCCATTGCTTTCTGCTTCCAGGGCAGCAGAAAACAAACCTACTCCCTCTTTCTTATGACACCCTTTCAGATATTTATACATGGCTATAATGTCTCCTCCCAACCTTATCTTCTGCAGGTCTTATTTTCTGAATCCACTTCCGAGCACAATTCAAAGTGTTGGCCTTGACCTATAAAGCCCTAAATGGTTCCAGACCAGTTTACTTGTCCAAACGTATCTCCCTCTATGATCCACCTCAGAGTTTATGATCATCGGGGGAGGCCCTGCTCTCGATCCCACCACCCTCACAAGCGCAATCGGCAGGGACGAGAGTTCTTTAAATGACCAGTTTAAATGATCCAGTTCTTTAAATGACAATATCATGGTTTGCTTCTTGGATTTTTTTTTTGGGGGGGGAGGGGGGATGTTATTTTCAAGGTATGGATGGTTGAATCTGTGGAGGCAGAATCTGTGGATATGGATAGATTTCTGTAGTTAGATTAAATGTTTTTGGGGAAGGGTGCTGCAATTTATTTAAAAGAAGAAGAAAAATATTTTGGTGGGTGATTATTTGTTAGCGGGGAGCAATCTGGAGAATGCAGAGGGATCCCAGGCCGTGTTTTGCTCACTCACAGATGACATGGAGGCATGTCTCACCGAACCCGATGGGAAGTGTGCAGCGCATCACAGCTTCACTGGAGGCCCTTGATTCACTTTCCTGTACTGAAACCCTTATTGACTCAGAGATATGTCATCATCATGCAGGAAAAGTTCAACACAGCCTTCCTTCCCTGAATTCTAAAAATCAAAATGCCCAGGAGGGGAGGTTTCCTTTCTCTATTATCTGAAGGCTAACAGCAACAGAAATGTTTTGCTGTGTCTCTTAGGATCAGTTGTGGTCCAGGCCAAGTACTTCTAGTGCTCTTTGTGGCTAGATGTTCAAAGGGAGAGAGTTGCTCTCTGGATCCCACAGCTGTGACTCTAAGAAGAGCCAGGCGGCAACCTTCCTTACATGTCTTCCCAACCTTGATTTTTAGCACAATGGTTCATGCTTCTCCATTGTCTGGCAGCTTCCTTATCTGTTTGGCTGCCCCAGACTTATATCCCTTCTCCCCATAGATCTCCTACTCAGAATTCTAACTATATGTGCTGCTCCCCATAGAGATCTACCCCAGCGATACCTTGGTCTCTTAACTGTACTGCAGCATTGAGAGTAACTATGGCAAAGAAGGAAAAAGACAGGCTACATGGGAAAGGAGGAGCAACTTGAGAACCTGCAAGTCACTTCTAGTGTGAGAGAATTGGCTGTCTGCAAGGACATTGCCCAGAGGACGCCCGGATGTTTTACCATCCTGTGGGAGGCTTCTCTCATGTCCCTGCATGGAAAGCTGGAGCTGACAGAGAGGAGCTCACCCCACTCCCCGGATTCAAACCGCCGACCTTTTGGTCAGCAGTCCTGTCGGCACAAGGGTTAACCCATTGCACCACTGGATGCTCCTTTGGGAAAGAGATGACTGTAAGCCATGTGCTGGCAAACATTCAGCACCAGTGAGAATCTACTAAAGAGGCGGCCTCAAAAGTCTACTCCTTGAAAGAGTTTGGGGCAAATAAATGGGAGTTGCTGGGGACTAAGAAAGGGTCCTGCATCAAAAGATGCAAAAACTATCCCACCAACAGGTTGTTGTAGGTTTTTTCGGGCTATATGGCCATGTTCTAAAGGCATTGTTTCCTGATGTTTCGCCTGCATCTATGGCAAGCATCCTCAGAGGTAGTGAGGACCTCACTACCTCTGAGGATGCTTGCCATAGATGCAGGCGAAACGTCAGGAGAGAATGCCTCTAGAACATGGCCATATAGCCCGAAAAAACCTACAACAACCCAGTGATTCCGGCCATGAAAGCCTTCGACAATACATTATCCCACCGACCTCGGCACAGTCAAAGCACTGAGTCCTCATATCAAGAGAAATGTGGCTTAGCCATGTTTAAATATCTTAAAGGGTATCATATCAAGGAGAAGGCAAGCTTCTTTTCTGGCACTCCGGAGACCAGGACACAATGGAGCAATGGATTCAAATGCTAGGAAAACAAACAACTAAATAAACACTGCAACTCAAAATAAGAATTCTGCACCCTCAAATGAATGTTTTATGTTGCTCCACTACACAGTTAAGAGGTCTGCCTTCCAATCATATGTGCCTAAATACCTTTATACTGATAATCTTAATGCATTGTCGAAGGCTCTCATGGCTGGAATCACTGGGTTGTTGTAGGCTTTTTGGGCCATGTGGCCATGTTCTAGAAGCATTCTCTCCTGATGTTTCCTGCATCTATGGCAAGCATCCTCAGAGGTTGTGATCCCACAACCTCTAGGATGCTTGCCATTGAAGCAGGCGAAACATCAGGAGACAATGCTTCTAGAACACTGCCACATAGCCCGAAAAACCTACAACAATCCAATCTCAATGCACTTCCTATCTCAAAGAGCACAGAAAGCCTTGGGGATCACACCGCATCACACAAGACATGCCACACATGGCACACACATTTCTGATAACATGGCAAAGTTCGAAGTCCAAGACTCACAGCTTTCGACTATTCTCCTTGATATCAAAGTTCTAACTATTTGGCTTCTAAGGAAAGGGAAGATAAAGTAAGTGGCCCATATCTACAGCCTTCCGTTGAGTTATGAAATTATAATGAGCGACAATTATTTTCTATTTGTTTTGTAAATGACGAAGGGAACACAAGCCCATTATAGACATCTTTCTATGTCCAAATTAAAAGGTACATGCAGGAAAATTATGAGGAGGGATCAAACACCAAAATAACACAAAATATTATGTGGCTGCGCTCAGTTGTGAAAACAAAGGAAGCTAAGCCCAAAATAATACCTGCAGTAAGGTGCAGCAAGAGAATGTGTTTGCTTGAGTAATCACTATCAGTTTCACCACACCTGTATCCAACCTTTCTTTTCCAAAAGGTTATCCAATACCACAAAGTCTCAGTCGGCTGAGCTTCAACAGCAGAAACGACAACGGGCCTGTCTGCATACACACTGAGCTAAAAGAGATGCATAGTAAAATGTGCATATGGAATGCTACAAAGACTATACATTCCCTTATTTTTGCATATTTTCCCAGCCATTTTAATGCTTTACATAAGACATATCACCTGTGCTAACAGAAAGGATGAGCAAAGAGATGTGTAGTACATCCCAATCTCCAAAACCCTCTTGAAACCTGCACCCAGGGAAATATCCCGACAACCTTCTTAAATGTTTGCTGCTTTCATCTCCTGTGGACACATCTTTCCAGTTTGGCCCACCACAACCTTCTCTTCTCATCTCTTCTCTTCCCCTTTCTTTCCTTTCCTTTCTTTCTGAATTTTAAGCCTTATCTAAGCATGCTGACATACTGAAATTCATCTGCACACCATGGAATGTCTTTAACCTTTCCAAACAGGTTAGTCTCTAAGGAAAATACAAAAATCTAACAGAACACCTTTGGATTAACCAGAGGCTAGTATCACTAGGAAATATTCTCTCAGACTTAAAACAAAAATCCAAAAGCCAAACTGTAGCACAGCTCGTTAATCTTCAGCTGCAATTGATCACTGTCGACCGGAAGGTGACAGATTAGAGAGATGGGCCAAAATTAACAAAACGAAGTTCAACAGTGACAAATGCAAGATACTCCACTTAGACAGAAAAAAATGAAACGAAAAGATACAGAATGGGGGACGTGTGGCTTGAGAGCAGTTCGTGTGAAAAAGATCTTGGGGAGGAAGGTGAACATGAGTCAATAATGTGACGTGGCAGCAAAAAAGTCAATGGGATTTTGGCCTGCATCAATAGGAGTCTAGTGTCTAGATCCAGGGATGTCATGGTCCCCATGCTCTAGTCTGCCTTGGTCAGACCACACTGTGTCCAATTCTGGGCACCACAATTGAAGGGAGATGTTGACAAGCTGGAATGTGTTCAGAGGAGGGCGACTAAAATGATCAAGGGTCTGGAGAACAAGCCCTATGAGGAGCACTTAAAGAACTAGGCATGTTTAGCCTCAAGAAGAGAAGATTGAGGGGAGACATGATAGTCATGTAATAAATATGTGAGAGGAAGTCATAGGGTGGAGGGAACAAGTTTGTTTTCCACTGCCCTGGAGATTAGGATGTGGAACAATAGCTTCAAACTATAAGAAAGGAGATTCCATCTGAACATGTGGAAGAACTTCCTAACTGTGAGAGCTGTTCAGCAGTGGAACTCTCTGTGGTGTGGTGGAGGCTCCTTCTTTGGAGGCTTTTAAACAGAGGCTGGATGGCCATCTGTTGAGGGTGCTTTGAACGCCCCCAAAAGATGGCAAGAATGGGGTTGGACTGGATGGCCCGCGAGGTTTCTTCCATCTCTATGATTCTAGGTTCGATGCTCGAGTCGGATTGAGCACCCGACTGTTAAGCCTAGCTTAATGTCCATCTAAGCAGTTTGAAAACAGCTGAGTTGTAAATAGAGAAATCAGGAACTGCTTAAGCAGAAAGGTATTTTATGACACCATAAAAATGCCAGCGGTCAAAGAGCAAGGAGGAAATAAGATCAAACGACTTGGAGTCATAGTGGCTGAAGCAACAGCAACCTCCTGAAGCTGGAATCGAGCAATAACCTCCAGCTACCGAAGTGGAAATGCCAAAAATACCT